AGAGGAAAAATATTCACTGTATCCACTTCATACATTTTTAATCACCCTGAAATCAATTCAACACCCTGAACACGGTTTAGAATTCCTGTTTTACAGAGCCGGTAAGCGATGGATCACCTAATTAAATCCAGGAGTGGCATTTCCCAATCAATGGAAGGGGCTGATGTGCAGGCACATCTTAGAACAGAAGGAGTAGTAAGGAGAGAGCACCTCAACCTTGCCATTTACCCTGTGTTCCTCAGTGCTACCCTTGAAAATGCTGAGGAATGCCAAAAAGAAAGAGAAAAAATATAAAGTTCATCCCTTTCACAGAGTAGTTCTGAAAGAACATGGTTTGTGTGGCCTAAGAGCTGATCTGCCACCAAAGGCCCAGCATTTCCAGAGAAGAATATAGCCAAATTTTAATTGTAAGTTAATAAGGGAGGCTGAAATCATGCCTAGAATTATCTTTGTCCCACAGAGAGTATGCAAAGGAGGATTACAAAACAGCAGAAATCCTATGGGAACATCCTTGAGTCACCTGCAACATCGAGGGCCACTGCCTTCCAACATCACAATAAATTAAGGGAACAGTCAGGAGTAAATGAGGTCACTCCTCACATGTGCAGTTGTGTCTGAGGCTCAACAATGAACACAAATGACAGGGATTAGGGCAGGAGCACACGTGAGAATCCTTCACCTCCTGTCCTGCCAACAGAACCAAGCGCCCGAGGGCACAGATTCCCTCTGCTCATCATTATGTCCAAACAAATGTTGTGGTTTCACCTTGGGGAAGAAAAAATGACAAAACTTGGGAATTTTCAACTTGGGAGCGCAGCAAACAGCCCAGCTCAGGGATGTGTCCTGCTCCTCAGGAGCATGAAGGGCTCCATGCAGGGAAAGCCTCTCTGCTCTGTGCCAGGCTGGCAGAGCTGAGGGTGCTCACCTGGAGAGGAGAAGCTCCAGGGAGAGCTCAGAGCCCTGGCAGGGCCTGAAGGGGCTCCAGGAGAGCTGCAGAGGGACTGGGGACAGGCATGGAGGGACAGGACACAGGGAATGGCTCCCAGTGCCAGAGGGCAGGGATGGATGGGAGATTGGCATGGAATTTTCCCAGAGCAGCTGTGGCTGCCCTGCATCCCTGGCAGTGCTCAAGGCCAGGCTGGACACCAGGGCTTGGAGCAGCTGGGACAGTGGCAGTGTCCCTGCCCAAGGCTGGGGACTGCAATGAGATGTTCTCCAGGTCCCTTGCAGGAGCACCCCAGGGTGCTGTGAGCATCCTGCGAGCAGGCGGTGCCACAGCAGGACCCCAGGAACGCCGTGACACAAACCCCCTGGAGATTCCCCAGCCAGCTCTGCATCCTTGGCCTCTTGGATTTTATTGCCATTTATTATTTAGGAATAACAGCACCGAACACAGAGCCAGCCTAGCGGAGGTTCATGAATCACAGCATCTTATCAGCATATTAATCAGCTCCTGGGAGGGAGAGGGAAACGGTGTGAGCTATCACAAACACTTGATAGTTTCACGCTTGAAGTCAAAGCAGCTCCAGGAGAGACTGATTCTTCATCCCTGATTCCACACCAATGGGCTAATCTATTTACTGCAGCACTGGTGCCTTCCTGCAGTGCAGGGGTGCAAGGGAATGGGAAGGGTAATGTGCCAAAGGAAAAGCAGGTGCTTTGGCAGGCCCCGCTTGGGGCAGGTAAAGTGAATTGTACCAAGAACAAAAAAAAGCAAATTGGAGGCCTTAAATAAATTAGCCTCAATTAAAACAACAGCTTACATGAAGATCCAACTTAATTACAGGCTGGTTTAATTAAATAGTAAACAAGGCTGAAACCCTGCTGCTGATGCTCCAAAATCCGCGGAATTAGCGGAGTGGAAGCCGTCACCAGGCGGGCACGAGGAGCCAGGGCTTGGAGCTCAGAGCTGGCACTGGGCAGACGCAGCTCTGTCTGCAGCCAGAACATTCTCCCTGTGCCACCTTCCCTCGGTGCCACAGCCGCTCATCCAGCAGCAGCAAACACCGCCAGCACAAGTTTTCTCCTCCTCTTTCAACAAAGAGGACCCCTTTGGTCTAAGGACCCCAAAAATGGGACACAGGAGAAGCCACAAGTGCTTAATAAATCCCTTAGTTCAAACACATGGATTGTTTTCATAAAGATTTCTCCTACGAGTTGAACAATTCTGATTTTATCTCCCCAAGTAACAGTATTTTAAAACTTCCTTTTTTAAATGTAATTGTTATTTCCCATAAAAATTCAGCCAACCCAGGCCACACTTGAAAAATGATTTGGGAAATAACTGTCCTTCACACTTCCATTAAGGAAGATCAAAATGGAAAAATCAAGAATCTGAATAAACGGATGCTTCATCAAGTACTTGAATATATGCCAAGGATTTCCCATTCTCCCTAACTCAAGGATTTCCTATTTTCCCTAACAGCCAATCTGGCAGAAAAAACTGGATTATTTATCTTGCAATAGACCTCTCTCCCTGCTCTGCCAGGAAACAACACAGAAGTCAGAATGAAAAGAAAATCATTAAAACTCATTATTTCAGACTAAAGGTACCATTAGATAAAAACAAACAAAATATTAAGCAGTATAAAGCATTCACATTTAGCACGAAAAATCCCCCACAAAAGCACAGAATTCAACCTGCCAGTGTCCTGATTACCATCCCTGCTTTCCTTCTGCCTCTACCCCACCTGAGTTTTATTCCACAGCTCTTTCCATAGCTGCTCAGACCACCCTCAGGAGTTGCCTGTCTTTTCTCTACAGAGGCTAAAATTTACATTTTCTCCTCCTCATTTGCTATAGAACTTTGAGGCTTTCATTACATATTCAAACAAATTCAGATTTAAAAGGGTTTGCAATACTATTTGCCCAGGAAAAAAAAAAAAAAAAAGAAGCTCTTCTGTTAAGTGCTTTCTGACTTCTATTTTGGGATTTCACTGTAAGAGTTCAGCCCACTGACTCCTCACCTTCCACCTGGGCATAGAACAATCCAGCAGGAATATTCCTGCTGTGCTGTCCCACATTTCTTTGTTTTACCACTGACATAACCGAGGACCTTGTTTTAATTTTCCCAGTCTGATCTGCCTCCAACTTTTCCCTCCAAGATTATCCTGCACATGCACCACTGACTGCAGTGCATTTACCACAAATTCTGGAAGACAAATGCCTGAAGGATGGTTTGGGATGAAACCACGGGGGCCACATCCTCCTGATCCCTGCATGGATCAAAGCTGGCACAAGTTGGCCAAGTCAAATTTCACAGAGTTAAGGGCACAGTAGGAAGTTCACAGTCATCAACCAGCAGGTTACTTTAGAAGATAACATCCCATTGATGTTGGCACTTGATTAATTCCAAATGGAGTCCTGCAGAATTCATGTGCTCAAGCCCAGGCTGGACAGGCTTGGAGCAGCCTGGTCTTCGCAAGGAGTCTCTGCCCATTGCAGAGGGTGGAATCAGATGAGCTCAAAGATCCAACCTAAACCATTCTGGAATTCCATTAATCCCTTCATCTAAAGCAGAATTCTCCCTCTAAAAGTCTTCTAGAAAAGGTCAAGGTCCAAATTCTGACCAATCTGCACCTCAATATTTAAATTAAATTGTCTCATCAAGTGCCAGAAAGCAGCTGCTAAGACACCCAGGATTGTACGAAAGCAGATACAGAAATGTACGCTGAATGGATATTAGGATGGAGCTTTAAGCAGATGCCAAAAAAAAAAAAATCCAAGTAAAGTGGGAGAGAAGTAGCCTCTTGTGCTGGAAAGCCACAAAATTCCTGTTATTTCCAGAGCAGGAAAATAACTGTGCACTTATGAGCTCGTTCTATCACCCAGGCACTGCTGGAGTCCACAGTCCTCTCACAATGGGCAGATTTGTGAAGAGACTTTTTCACAGAGATTGTTGGGTTTTTTTCAAGCCTCTCGTGCTTTGACTGTGAGACCAAAGTTCCCCCAAGCTACAGTATCTCCAACAAAGCAGCTGCATAAATTGGAACGAGAAAAAGAAAGGATGAATAAAAATGGGGCACCACGCCTTTGAGGAGCTCTCTGCTCTGCAGAGTCTCAGACTGGGCTCCTCACAGCCCCCCACAATATCCATGCACAAAGCAGCTCAGAGTGTTTGATGCTCATTCCCATCTGCTGGTGACCACTCTCCTCATCAAAAGCACATTCCCAAGTAATTCCACACATGAGGTGAAAGCCAACGCAAATAGAAAGCAGGAAGCTCTAACACAACATGACACCCAAGAGCTGATTGCATTCCCCAAAATGGCATAAAAAGGAGTTTTCCAGGGCTGATTTTGTAAGGGGGTTCAAGATCATAGCAAGTCAAGGTGAACATAATCCACAGGGAAAACCAGATACACCTGAACTGGGATTTTCTTATTCCAAAGCACCATTTCTGTCCCAAATGAATTCTTTCCACATCAGTACACTTTAAGTTCCCCACTAGTTATGTAATGATGGTAAACATCTTTATCAAGTAATAAGGATGACATTTTTAGACAACTTAGTTCTAAAGAAGGTTTCAAACAGAAAACAGACTTGCTCTTCCACATAAGATTAACTCTACCAAAGCACAACTTGAAATATAAAAAGAAAATCAGTCAGTACATTAGCTTAAGTCATCACTTATCACAATACCTGGGTGTTCTCCAAACAAGGGGATCTTGGCTGTGGGATCCTCATTTCCACAGCTGGATTATTCCAGCATGTGCACCCCAGTGGTTCAGGGGAACCCTCTCCTGCTGGACTGTCCCAGCACCTACTGGCATGTTTGTTAATGTAAAGAAAAAAGCCCTTTGGATCCTATTCCTTAGGATTTCCAGGGCATCCTCTCTGCATGAATTCAGCTCCAATTCTTCTCACCACCCTTGCTGAAGGGCTTCTCCTGCCAGTCACGTTCCCATCCGGCTCCCTGATGGGAAACCTCTTTCCCTCATTGAGGGATCAGCCACACCACACACAGAGATCAGGAACAGCCCCAGCCCCTGCTGTCCTACCTGTGTAGGCCATGTTCTTCGGGTTTCCGTAGGGAGCCCCGGGTTGGACGGGGCTGTAAACAGGATTCATGCTGGAAGACCGGGAACTCTGAGGACAAAAGAAAAGCAGAGTTGAGACGGTTGCCTTGGGTTGGCTCCCGAGTCGCTGTCTGTGTGCAGAGCCCTGATAGCATCACCCTGTTAGAATTCCAGACACAGACAGCTGTGAAGGAAGGGATTTACAACCAGACGTTCCAACCAGATAGCATATTTAATAATTCAAGTTTTGGATCTCTCCGCTAATTCCCACAACTTCTCCGGCGCTGCATATTCTGCCTACAAATGCACCCGGAGCAGATTCATCTTCCACATCCCTGGGCTCAGGACTCATGACCCCACTTCCAGCGTGAGATGAACAAAGAGGAGGAGCCACAAAGTCGGGCAAGGGATTGTCCCCCTTGGAAGAGCGAGCAGTTCTTGGGCGATCAAACCAAGCGCACCGAAGGCCTGACCTTTCAGAGAGCAGCAGATCAGAGATCATTCGCCGCTGGCCAGATGGAGAAGGGCAGGTCTTGGTGAGCTTCCAGCGTGAGCTGACTGTGAAAACCTGGAGGCCAAGGCTTGGCTGATGTGTGGGGCTGGGCAGGGCCACCCCCTGGTCCCACAGCTGGAGATTCCATGAGAAAGGAGATTTCAGCAGCCCTCGTGCTCCCCTCGCCGATAAAATCCACACAGCAGGGTCAGCTTCTTGTGGGTTTTATTAGGAGGAAAGCAAGTGACTTGGGAATTTGTGTCTCCTAACTGTCAGTTAAGCAACTGGCTCAGTTAATTATCTTAATGAAGCACATTCTCAGTTCTGATTAATGGGAAAATCAGTCATTAAGCTTTATTAGGCGACGCATTTGTCTCCGCAGCTATCTAGTGGTAATTTCACACCAGAACCAAACCCATCTCGCCTCAAAATCTGGGGGTTTTGTTAAAATGTGTTATTTTACAGTTCATAAATAACACCATTCTCTCCAAACAAGTCCCTCATGATAGGGGACACAATTTGTTACATCATTAACTCCTTTCACTTTATCTCGGGAGAGTAAACAAGTCATGTTAGCACCGATTGACTTGACAACAATTAGTGCTTAATTAATTAGCTGTCCCTCCACCCCCAAGTTAGCACTGAAGGAGCCATTCTCTAAGGAAAGGAAATCAGGGTTATAAGGAAGTGGGAAGAGAGAGAGAGAGACTCAGAATTCCATCAGTGGCTTCACTGACACACAGCATTAAGAGCATTAAGAAGATCTTGAATAAAATCAGTGCAAAACCAGGCTGCCCAGAGAAGCTGTGGCTGCCCCATCCCTGGAACTGCCCAAAGCCAGGTTGGATGGGGCTTGGAGCATCTGATCTAGTAGTGGAAGCTGTCCCTGCCCATGGGACTGGATGAGCTTTAAGGTCCCTTCCAACCCAAACCATTCTGTGATTTTATGGAACAAAATTTAGGATGGTAACTCTTCACCTTTCCATTGTTCCTCCCCAAAAACCACCCAGTGACAGCTGGACCTGCTCCCAGGCAGGGCTGGAATCACAGCTGCTTTTCTAAAGTGCCTTTTCAATGCCAGCACCATTTCATTTGTACTCTTGTGTGTGTGAAGAGTATAAAAAAAATCATAATTCAGGGGAAAAAAATGACAGAGTATGTGCGGCTTGCATTAGGTGTTGTACCAAATGGTAAAAGCAAAACACTCTTATTGAGAAGGATGAAAGAAAACGCTTTTTATCCCAGATAAAAAGGTTGTAATCGTGGTGGGGGCTTCAGAGCTTGTGAGGAAGAGGTCTGTGCTTCCTCCCTGCTTTGTATGCAGGGTGGGATTTCCAGCCAGCAGGAAAGAGCCCCTGCAAACGGCATTTGGGAGGGATGATTTTCTCTCCCATTCTGCAAGACAATGCCATCCGAAAATACATTTCAAATTCATTGCAGGCACCATGTTGTGGCATTGAAACAGCTACACTGAAATGGGAATAAAACAGGATTAGCAAAATTAAACCTTCTGCACCGCCAGAACCTGCAGAGTTCGCTTGTGGCCATGAATGCCCAACAAAAAGACTACTAAAAATTAATTATAAACAGACAAACACCAGCGCTGCTCTATTGCAGGAGCTCCCAGCGCTCCCTAATCCCTGAGCCAGCCACGCTCAGTTGCTCTGAGAGACTCCAGCAAGGAGTAACTCCAGCAGGAATGCCATGGGAATGAGCTGCTAGCAAACAGTCCCGGGATACTTGGTGCCTGTAACCTGGTTACCTTTTCATCCATTTCATCCTTCCTGTGAAAGCGCGGGGCAGGCTCCCATCACACCAGGGAGGGCAAACAGAGCCACAGGGGAGGGCGGGAATGGTCACTGTGGCCTGGGCAGAGATGGGGAATGGCTGGAGTCCATGAACTTGGAGGGTTTTCCCAGCCTTGGAGTGCTTTTCCAACCTTAATGACTCTGTGATTCTATGAGTGTGCCCCCTGGGAATCAGGAACATCTCATCCCACTGTTTCCCCTTCACTTGGTGCCTTGGGAAGCACTGTGCCCAGATCCCTCCATCTCCACAGTGGAGTTTGCAACCTCCATCACTGTGGCTGGAAAAGATCTCCAAGAGCATCAGGTCCAATCTCTGGCCCAATCTAAAAGCTAAAAGAATAAAGAAAATCCAGGAGGCTACCGAAGTTATTATCATTATCTTTTCAGAACAAAGGAATGAAATCTTTACAGAGAAATAAATATATTTTGCAGGGTTTTTAAAACAGTGACACGGACAGGTTAATCTTTCAGGCTCTCCAAAAATTAAATAGTGGCTCTGAATTGAAAAGAAAAGAGTAAACAATGGGAAAGTGAGCTGTTCTGAACAACAGACATTTTTCCATTTTGCTTCAAGTCATTTCTTGTGTCAAGGTGATTTTCCCTTTAAACTCCCATTGCCTTGTTTTTTGTGCCACTGGGATGCAATGCCTTTTGAGAGCCCCATTCCTCACACTCTGGAGAGAGGGTACTATTTTCTCTATGTGCCAAAAGTAATTTATTTCACATCAGGTGGCACAGAACCAACATGAGAGAGTATGAACAAAGAAAAGAGATACTTTTCTTCCTTGACCCGCACATCACCTCTTTAAATGAATTTTACACAAATTGCATGCTAATAATATTCAGCCAAAGTCTCCTTGAACATGAAAAGGCCTCCTGACCTTACACTCCATGCAAATTCCACTAATTTTCTGACAATTTTTCCCTTAAGTCGTTTGAAGCTTGACCCTCACATGGGATCCAGCAAACAATAATTAAATTACCTTCCAATTCATCTGGTAAAGGTTAATTTAGGCAAGTTACAAGGGTATATCCCACCTTTCCCCAAAAAAGGCTGGGACAGTGGGCACAAGCTCAGAGATTTGTTTCTACAATGAGCAGCTGCTTCTTTAATTTATTCTTTTTTTAGGGACACCTTAACTTAAGACTTGATTGAACGTCTCACGTGGGAAACAAAATATTGAACCTGTTATAGAAATGTAACTGTGTTTTATATTATATATATATTATATGTATCTATAATAGGGGTGTATATATATGTATGTATTTTATATATATATATATATATAATGTAATATATAATGTGAACCCATCAGGTTGACACATGGAAACCCAGACTGGTTTGGGTGGGAAAGACCTTAAAGATCACCCAGCTCCAAACCCTGCCATGGGCAGGGACACCTCCCGCTACCCCAGGTTGCTTTCTCCTCTCCAGGTGAATTCCTCCAGCTCCCAAAAATTTACATCCTACAGCATCTTCTGTCAGATCCACCTCCAAACCAGGGCAGGAGCACTCAGAGCTTCACTGAGGAGACTCAAGAAAATGTCCTGGGAGACAAAACTCCAGGGAGCCACATCCTTATCACTGCTGTTTCCTCTGAGATGAAGAACTAAATAATCAGGCTTTTCCAATCAACCAAGAAAAACCTGACATCTCTAACAGCAACAAGCCCTTTGGTCCTCATTGTATGAAAAATTAAATAGATCATTTATAAGCACAAAGCAGCTCTTGACTTTGGAATTTGCTGACCTCAGACCGGCCAAAAAAATAAACGCTGAGGCAGGAAAAATCTCGACATTTCGTTTGCTGAAGTTTATGATCTGCTTAAAAGCCAGAGGATCAAAAAATGATAATTCAGTTATTAATTCAATTGAATATTATAGACTGCATATTGAAATATTGTAAAGGAAATCCCTGCCCTCCCTGAAAAGGACTAGGAAGGTGGGATCACTTGTTGCACAGGTGAATCTGAATGTGATGGCAAAATACCTGCACACTGTGTTTGCCTATTTGAATTAGGCAGAGCTGACACAAACACCCCTCTGAACCTAAATAAATGAGAAACGATTGAATCATAAACTCACAGACTGGTTTGGATTGGGAGGAACCTTAGCAGGGACACCTTCCACCAGACCTGCTTATTCCAAGTTGAACCAGTTCCCCCACAAGAAATTTCAGAATGAGAAAAACCAAAATATTCTGGCACAGCTGGGGTTATATTAACTTGTTTCCAGAGAAGAAAATGTCTTAATGCAGATGAATTCTGTGCTGCAAATTCCCAGCCTTTTATCTGCAAGTCTGATGGGTTTCACCAGCAGGTAACCAATAAATACATGTATTTTTTAAAAGATCTAACATATCTGCCCCAGTGAGTCCCAAACCATTCTCAGCAGCTCTCAAACGACTTCCTTGATACATTGCTATTAATTTCTCTAACTTGAGGCCTTGCTGACTTTCCCTTTGGAGATGAACCCTGCTGCACTCTTGTACTTGGTGCTCCCCGACTGAGCCACGGCCTCCTCCAGCTGATTATCTCCCTCCTTTTGTCTTCCCTGCCCTACTTCATTATGTTCTGCTCAAAAGGCTGCTTGGAACACACAGCTTGAGGACACTTCTCTCAGCTCCTTCCTTTCCACAAGCACTGCCTTGGGAGATTTGGGCTGGCCACCAGGAAAAGCCTGGATTATAAACATCCATACCACAACATCACCCAGGCACTGCAAAAACAAACCAAAATATTCTTAGTTATCTTTCTTATCTGAGCTGCT